CCTCCATTCCCAAATCCTAATCTTTTACATCCAATCTTTAGAGATGCTTCAAGCCGCCACATTCATTGCATGTCATCTCTGTTGCAACCTCATCTCCAAAATGACTCAAGAGGCCAACCAATTAATAAATACGCATAACTCTAGTGCATGGCATCCAAAATTTTGTGATTTATCACTACCTGTTGCAATTTGAAGCCAAATTGATTTTCTTAAACTCCATTGATAATTAGAGTCTTACAATTATGGTTAATTTATCATGTTTGGATTAATTGTTTAACTTCTTGGGTAATCAATTGCAATACAAAGGGTTTATAATAGAAAATCTCAAACGCAAGAGGGAAAAAAAAAAAATCTTTCTTCTTGGATGATCTGCAAAAAGATCCAAATAATTTTTATTAATTATTTTAATTTTTTTTTGACACATGTCATATTTTTAATGGTCCAGGTTAGCATTAGAAGGACATTTCTACTTCTACGGCATGAGGCAAGTATTGTTCTATTTTTTTTTAATGTATTAGTTATTTAACTTATTTTTCATTTAATATATTAATTACTTAATAAATATAACCGTTATCCATACAAGTTGTGGCGCAAATTGCAGTGGCAGAAGAGGCCCCCAATTTTTTTTATTAATCCTTTAATGTATTTATTATCAATTACATACAAATCCTATTATATTGATCAATAGAAAGGTTCTTTATTATCATAATTACTTTTCTTTTTCTCTCCAAAATCACACCCGACTTCTTATAATTTTTAGATATATGATAAACATCAATTTTGTATGCAAGTTGGGGATGTAGAGTAATTTAATTTTTTTTTTTTCTTAGAGCACGTATATCAACCCCACAACACACGCACCATTCAAATCAGGGATGCGATTCGAAAGCCCCCTACCAATGCCATTATACAGCCGAATGTAAAATAATTTTATTTGCATATCAATAATAATTCAACATTATATTTCTATTGAGCTCTTACGATCTCACGCATTAATTGTGTACAAAATAAAATCATTATCTCTATTACATTTCAATAATTATTCAATATTATATTTCTCTTGAAATCTCACACATCAATTATATAGCTAAAAAAATAAAAATAAAAAAATATTCATATTATATTAATATATAAAATATGTGAAGGTTCTCAAAATAAAAGGAGGTCAGTATGGTTGCCCTCGCTTTGGGCCACGACGGTCTGTCAATCAATTGTCACCTATTATTTCCTCGAACTTTTCACACATTAATTGTGTACAAATTAAAATTACTATCTAATTCGATTGAAGTTAGATTAGTAAACGTAGAGAATCAAAACTTGTCACTCTAAAATTTATCGAAAGTATTAACTCACTAGACATCTACATATCAATAATTATTTGACATTATATTTCTCATTATATAGCTAAAAATATAAAAAATATATATATTCTTATATTTCCTTGAATAAAAACTATTAATATTATATAAATAAAAGGAGGTCCAGCATATTAGAATTGGTTACACTCCCTTTTGGCCTATCACAATAATGTGGATAGTATTTTCAACCACTGAATCAGATATTTTTTATTTTTTTAAAATGGTAAAAGGTTTATCAGTAACTGCAATCACACACATTGTTACGTCACTTTGAATTTCTCAAATCAATTACTCTCTTCTCTCATTATTATAAGAGATCTGTTAATTGTCGGTCAATTGTGACAGATTATTTTTCCGTTACTGTACTCGTTGTGGTGGATCTCTCTCATTCGAGCTTCTGACCCTTGTAGCTTCTTAATAGAACTTGGTAGTTGCAAATGACACCTCTTCGTATTTATAGAAATTACAGCTAATTGTTCAGACATTTCTATTAATATTTATAATTCTATAAAATTCCTTACTCATCTAAAATATTCTCTACCCTCTATAAATATCTACAACCCTCTCTAACAAACTCTATTTACACTCCACTCTACAAATATCTTCTTGGAATTTCTCAAATCAGTGACTTTAGTCTCTCATTATTATAAGCAATCCGTTAATTGTCGGTGAAAATAGTCAACCAAATCAAATAATCTCAAATACGCAATCCGTTAATCTCAAATAGGCAACCAAATAAAATGTTGAATATAATTCTTGCAAAAGAAAAAAAAGTGCTATGCAATTTTTAATTTTTTTTCTTCTTGAACAAGCAACAACCTTAACATCAAAAAGAGTTCCAAAAAACAAAAAACAAAAAAAAAAGAAAAGAAAAGAAAATTATTAAGAAACAGAAAAACAGGGGAAAAAAGACAGAAAAAACACTTCTCCAAAAGACACATATTCCTTTGAGTTTCGAGTTAAAAGCTCTAGTCTCCAATGACACACTGTCTTATTGTTCTCTGATGGTGTAGTACACCCCAAATATTTGAAGGCTTCTTAATTGCTACATCAACTCCAATAGTTTAGGAAAGAAGCCAGCCTGTCAATAATCAGTATTTTCGTCCATTAAATATTTCTTTAGGACCTTGTTCTGGTCTGAGATCTAAAAACCGGTATTTTCGTCTATCAAGTTCCATTGTAGCAGATTGTATTTTAATGGAATCATGCAGTGTTATCAAAGGCTCAAGAAGTCCATGCACAGACGAGATGTATGTGTTTTGTCTGCCTATTGGCGTCCGTAATAACACTGGTATCATGTGTGATCTCTTGTGCATAAGATGGCTTTTTTCGAATTAAATTTTTTATGGGTTAATATTTGTCTATTTATTTAAAAGTTTAAGCTAATGAGTAGTGTCACATACTTATCCAATTATACCCCTTTCATTTTCAATTCGCATTCGATGTGAGACAAATACCCCTTAAACATTCTCTCCCACCAGAACTCGCAATGTACTCATTGCGGTCGGATCACTTTGCTTACTTGAGTGGTTCACCCAAATGCCTTCCAGGCCGAGCGTGACACCGAATCAAGGATTGGGTCTAACTCTGATATCAACTGTAACGAGCAGGCGCTTGCTCATTTATACTTTTTAAATAGTGTTACATATCCATCCAGCTATATCCTTTTTAATTTTAATTCAGATTTGATGGGAGACAAATAAACTGGGTAACAATATGGCTAGTCCTTTTTATTCTGAGATAGATTCAAGGATCACAAGGGGAATAAATGAAAACTGAATCGCTGAGACAGATTGGCTTCTTTGCTCGATTCTTTTTAGTTGAAATGGTATTCAAAACTCACTCTTCCTCTTGTTTGATCTAATAAGAGAGAAGAGAGAAGAAAATTATTATATGAAGGGGTTGGCCACATTGGTTTTTTTAAATATATATATATTTTTAATTTAAATGGATTGTAATTAATTGTTAACTTTTATAATTTATTTATAATTAATTCATAACTTCAATCACTCTCATTTTCTCCTGCCTTTCATACAAAATTACAAATTTGTTTCCCTTTTCTTACTGGGTGCATATCACAGTTTATTTTTTCTTATTCTTTATAGTGTCAGTCTTAATTTCTTCATTATGTTTGTATACATCCTCACTCTTATTTTTTCTTCTTATTGATAGCGTCACTTCTGTCTCTCCCGGTAAGAGCCCAAGAAACCACCACCACCACCACCATCTCTCTCTCAACTCATTTTCTCAATCTCTCTTCATACCCATCTCTCACAACTCACTACCCTGCTAGTCTCTGACACTGAAATTGATAAGCCAACACTGTCAAACAGTGTGATAGTGCATTGGCGGTCCATGGAGTCGCCGGAAATGTGTCCGAGGAGGAGAGAGAGTTTCGGGAGCAGCCGGGCGAAGACGGGCGCCGGCCATGCTTGGATTTTGGGATTGAGTACAGAATAAAATCAGCAAAGATTTCTAATTAGATGAAGAGGTTCTTGGTGGGGTTTTTTTTTTTTTTTTTTTTGGCTACTAAATCAATAGAGGATTCAGATAGTTGATGCATTCCTTATCATGAGAATTCAGATCGAGATAGTTGATGCAGTCCTTAGCATGAGAATTCTTGTAGTTCCATTGGTTGTGCCAGTTTTGCAGGTTAATTGCATTTGGGGAGAGGACAAGCAAAATGTACCCCCAATTGAATTTTCAGAATTGCATTCTATGTTACTTGTGATCATGTTCGCCTCATTCCATACATGACGTATCACCCGATTCGTAACTCTTTCTCAAGGGTATGAAAGAGTCTTATACCGTTGTACACCCCATGAACCGTTTGAATTGACCGATTTACACCGATATTCACTCAAATTCATTATACCGTAACCGCGAACCATGCTTTTGATAATTTTATGTCATGGGTGTGTTTTTATTTCTCTCATACGTATTTGAGTTACAAGAATTTTTAATTTTTTTAACAGAAAAAAATGGTAATCCAATCTGGGGGAACATTGGTATGCTAGAGAATTACTCTGAAGGATAAATATGCTAGCCTTTTGCGAATTCTTAGAGAATCTTCATCCGAAGGATCAATATGTTAGCCCTTTGCGAATTCTTAGAGAATCTTCCATCTTAGGGCACGTCTGGAGGATATTATGCTAGCCCTTTGCAATTTAGTTTCCCTTTTCCTGTGTGTGTGTTATAAATGGGGTGGGAGACCCTTTCCCGCCCCCAGCCCCCTGCGTGGGGTTTTATCCTTTACCGCATCCCAACCCTAACCCATTCCATTGGTAATGGAACAGGACCAACAGGAATGGGGTAAATTATATGGGTCAGATATAGAAGCAAACCAAGCAACTTTGTTAAATGTCACCCCCCAACCCCAACCCACCAAAATCCCACCCCCCCCCCCCCCCCCCCCCCCCCCCAAAAAAACTTTACTAAATGGTGCAGGAGAGCCTAAATTTGATTAAGCTCATCAGATTGCCATCATGCTTCATGACCCCAGTTCAACTAACCAATCTAAATAACCGCAGCACTGATCCTTCCTTAATGCAACACAGTAATAATAAGAGGGTAAGATTTTACCCAAGTCGTGCTACGTGCAAAGGTAGAGTGCTTTTAAAGGAACATTACATGGCATGGCACTTTTTAGGTTATAATTGATTTTATATAAAAGTTACCCCATTGGGTATTGGAAGGGGAAAAGAGCTGAGTTGCCCAAAAAAAGACACTTACATAAGCATACACAATACTCAAATTGCAGGATTCCTCCAAGAATGTACTGTGTAACCAAATTCAGCATTCGATATCCTCCGGCGCTTGAGGAGGTGGATTTCCAGGGTTTTGCAGCTTACTGCATTTTGCATCCTCTCCTGAAGGAGTAATAACTAATAACCACACTTTGTTTTTTGTAGTCAATTTTGAGGAATTCAATCTGAGGTGACCAATGTGACTTCGTCTCTTAGATAGAATTGACGGAATCACCATCACTGCTTTCACTGTCACTACTACTGCTCCCACTGCCACTCCCACTCCCACTGCCACTCCCACTCCCACTACTCTCACTCCCGCTGCTGCTCGAGCTTGAAGTTCGCCCATGTCTTCCCTCTGCATTTACCTGTGCTCTAAGGGCTTCTGCTGCATTACGGCCCTTATCCACTTCATCATCACTGACATCTACATCCGCAATCTCATCATCCGTATCATTTTGATGTGGCAAGTTAATATCAATATCAGTTTGGATCGCTTTTTCAGCAGCATTCCCTCTATCAGCTGCTCCACTGCCATCATCGTCGTCGTCATTAAGTATATCTAACTGTTCCTCCAGATCGTCATTCTTAAGGTCTGGTGACGTGGTTGATGGATTTGGATGAGCAGATGGATAATCAATAACCTTCTCATTCTTTGGTTTCGGATCTGGTGCATAGAGATAAAAGTGAAAAATTTTGACCAAGTAACACGAAGTTGCACACCAAAGTTCTTTTTTATTTTTGGGAGGGGGGGGTAAAAACTAGAATAAATATCTCACCATGAAGAACATATCTTGGCACGTTGTGAATGGAAAATAATTGCAGTGGAAAAGAAAATGAGTGATAAGAAAAAAATGCAATCAATAGAAATAAAATCATTCCATCATGTTTTGCAAAATATTTCAGATAATTCCATTTTATTTTTCATCACAAATAAAAATAGTCAAGAACCATTCCTTGTCACGACTCCAAATGATGTGTAGACAACAATGTTGATTAATTCATGATCAAGGGTCGTCCAAACTCTATTATAAAAAAGTAATAATAAAAAAAAAAAGAGGTTATCCAAACACAATTTTTTAAAACTGGATTCGCCTTTTAGCATGTAGAGGATCAATTTAATAATTCTTCATGATGAGTTCATTTTTGTGATAGATTTTACCTTCAAAGACATGTATCAAAACAAATCCTAAACAAATCCTTCCATTATAAAACAGAAACAGTGAATTCAGAGATGTGGTACATTTTTTTTTTTTTTTTGATAAGTAAGAGATGTGGTACATGTTATCGTAGTTAAAAAAAAATTGCTGGTAGTTTACTTACTAACTGTGCTTCATAATATGGAATTTCTAGAGAGAGAATAAACAACAGGAATTTTACCAATTGGTCCAGGACCTAGTAACCGATCATCAAATGGCTTACATTTTGTCAAAACATGCTCACTTCCATTTGGCCTTCTCATTTTTCATTTTACATTAAAATATAAGCACAAACACGCTTTAGAACAAAGAAGATGAAAAGTGGTTGACATGCCAAAGTAAATTGCAGGACACCACAAAGATTGAGTCCAGAGGAACTCACGCGAAGTTGGCCTGTAGAACTGTAAAATGTGGGGTGGAAATGGGGAAATTTTTTTTATCTCCTTTAACTAAATTTTGCTCTAGTGAGATTGTCAACTTTCCAGATTTACTCTGAGCTAAAAAGGCAAGAGCCAGAACCATAAAAACTGATCAATCAGGAACGCCAAAAGAGTAGCAAGCCAATAATTATTCTTTTTTGTTTACTAAGGCAATAATTAATTTATTTTGGTAGGGCCACTATAACTTTGTTTTATGTATTTAATAATATGTGCTTCTTGAATGTCAAATTATGAGCAGAGAGTAAAAATCATTTCGTTTCTAGAGTAACTCCAGCTTTAATGAACAATAAGAATAAACAAAAAGGCCCAGTGATAGTGTAGATTGTAACTATAACTGGTGTAACATCCTACCTGAGTTCTTGAAGTCACCAATTTCAATTCGTTCCACTTCGACCTGTATAAGTAAACAATAAAAAGAAGTTCAAATCTGCAGAATAATTTCAAATAAGGACTTTGTCTGCTAAGAGAACATTATGATAATACAAAATGAATGAATTGTATTTTATTATTAATTTTTTTAATTTCTTTGCAATTGCAAAGGGAAGGAAAAATAAATGAGCCACATAGTATTTCCGGCTAAATTTTTTCTTTTCAATCCAACAGTTGCCCCCTACATTGCACGGTCAGCCTCCCTTTACTGATAAAACCCCTACCGTGCTATCAGATGTGAATTAAGTACTATACTAATGAAAACAAAATAATACCCATAAGATAAATAGTAACCACAGAAAGCAATCATTATATGTCGAGAAGAAAAAACAATTCTACATAAAGCATCTTCAATGGGAAAATATTAGATGACATGTCAAGTTAGTAGAATCCCATGCATGAGTTTTGAATTAAACTAAAGGTATCAGCCATAAAATATGCAACAAGCACATACTTATAATCTTCTTATTTACTTATTTGTTTTTCATTTTTTGTTCTATAGATAAAAACATAAAAATAAAAATAAAAAATACTGGAAACCATGCAGGCAACTGCAGGACCACCCCGCAGGTGATGCTAGTCAGGTACTAAGTATGATTCTCACTGCATGACTCACTCTAGACAGAATATGCCGCATGGCCACTCAAGGCCATTGACACTTTTCCAGCGGCAATCATACAAAAAGTAGTGACGAAGTTCACCTAGTGTGTCAAAGGATGAACTCCCTGACAAATCTCCCAGTCCACATGTGACACTCTTGCAACCCCTAGGTCACAATGTGCCCTATTGGTCCAATTGTGATGTACCATTTATCCGATTACATTACATTGCAGTATTCGCCAGTCATGATGTGGTCTTCTATGGTGTACCATAAACCCAGCAGTTATGTTGTGATTCAAATATCAAGCAATGATCCCCAGCTGATAGATTGGAGGGATGGAAATTATAAAAAAGAAATCAAGGTGTGGTCTCAGGACCAAGTTGTGATACCAATGGTTGCAGTGTGGTCAAAGCAGTGTGCTACAATCCTTCTTGGGATACTTGGGTAACCTGGCTTGGTTCTTAAGTCGGGGACAAGAAGAGGTGTGAAATAATTGTGAAGTAAATTAAGGCAAGAAGAATGACCCACATGTTTTGTTCAAGCCTAAAAAAAAATTTTTTAAAAAAAAGCAAAATGTGTTGAGCAGTATGATTCAACATTTCACTACTGTAATGACATAGTTAAATAAAATGATATTTTTAATAAATATTTGAATTAATTAAACTAACTAGATTTTCTTAAGCATGTTTGTCACAACAGATCAATAAATTTCAAAACCAAGTGCAAAGCACTTGTCCAGATGATAACCCACCGGCATTGAATGAAGCACACTTTTACTCAAAGGCTGAAATTTAGCTGCTTTCGCAACTGGCGGTGAACCAGATTCTGCAGCTGGTTCAACTGAAGTAGCCACTGCTGCAGACTCACCAGGTAGCCGAACATGCCTCAACCGCTTCACCGCCCTGTGCAACCTTTCTAACCGAAAGGTCTCTCCATCAAAGAACAAAACTGCATCATTTTCCTTGTAGTCCTCACTGCTACCATCAAAGGTCACTTTGGGCTTTCCATGTTGGTTGTTGTGGAACTCTACAGTAACCCTATTTCCCTTATTCTTGTGTAATGATCCCGGTTGGTTCTTATCAATTGAGGCTGGTTTAAATTCATCTGAAATGTATTTGAATAACAGTTATCATACTACAAAATAATGTAATGGAAATGGTACTCTCTCCGGAAACGGAGAGTCAAACAAGGCTTCCAATTTAAAGCATTCAAGCAGGGCCTACTTGGGCCCCACTGAAGTGCAACCAAGGGGGAGCCTTGTTCAGCTTCCCATTTCGGTACCCTTTATTTGAAGAGAGTATCATCACTCTAATGTAATTCCCTCATTAATAGTTCAGTTGCCAATAAATGTCAACATAATAAAAGAACCTGGTAAATTCAAACCTCGTATATTCCATTGCTTTGGGTCTCAAATAATTTTATAAAACTAGAATAAATTCAATGCGATTGTACGACTATTTGGAGGATCCAACTCTTCACACTGAAAATATTAAGCCTTCAAAATTGTTTTTCCTTACTTCTTCCCCAGCTTTATCATCAACCAAACAGGGGTAAAAAATAGTCTATTATTACAAATATCATGCATGGTTGCAGAAAAATAGAAGAGGCATAAATACTAAAACCAAATCTTAGATGTTCCCTCAATTTGGATAAAAGCCAAATCTTATATAAATATAAGGTATTCCATTCAATTGCACTTAACACAAAACTACTTAGATTACTTGAGATGGGTATCCATCTCAACAGACAAAAAATTAAAAGAAATTTTTTTATATTCAATTCATCAGGCAATTAAACGGAAGGAAAGGTTAGATAGTTGATTGATGATTTCAAGTTCAAATCTGTTTTTCATATAGATAGCCATCGGGGTATATTTTCCCTTTACACTCGTATCACCGTCATACTAACGAAAAAACCAACAAAAATAAATACTGATAAACGCTTAAATAATATAGAAAGGCTAAATTATAAGGAAAAGCAAAAAAATTAAACCTAAGAAAACAGAAAATAAAAATAAAAAATAAAATGGGAACAAAATTATTGAAGTTTGTGTGCGTAATCGTGTACATATTTTCATATACACATATATTAAGAAATACGAAGTGGTTTGATGGACTTACAACGTAAAGTGCAGAACTTGGAAGAGGGATGATGTTCTTTGAAGGAGGAACCTAGGGTTAGGTTATACCATCGATCGGGCTGAGGAGCTGTATTGGGTTCTCCTTTGTTGTTGATGTTTGCCATTTTTCAGTTGAATATGGTGATGGAGATTCGATAGATGGAACCCTAGATTTCTAGGGCTTTGAAAGGAATGATTTGCAGAAGTAAAAACCAGATACAAGATTGCGAAGGAAGGTGGAGGGAGGGTATTTTCGTCTTTTCAGCGCAATCGAATTCGCTGCACTAACGTGAGCCGCGTTTCATTAGCGTGCGCTATGAACTGCTGTTTGGTTACAGGTCTATGCTATTACTGAGCAAATTAAAATCAATTAGCGTCCGTTTAGTTTCACGAAAATTTACCATGTAAAATAAATAAATAAATTATAAAATGAAAGTACACAAAATAAATTTTCATTAACAGTCCGTTTGTTTCGAAGTAAAATATATATATTTGTAAATATTTTCCTTTTTCAAGTGAGATATTCTTTTATTTTTATTTTTTCGATATTTGTTAAAAGTGTACGTCAAGATTGAGGTCGAGGTTGAGTTCATCGAGCGAGGCAAATAAAATAATTTGTCAAAAATTAATGAATAAGTTATTTTTGTTAAATTTTAATATTTTTTTAAGACAACCAAGCACCAAAAAATAAAAAAATATTTTCTAAAAAATATTTTACATCTAAACAAACGAAACCTAAATCAAGAAAATTTAGAGTTCCTCTCTTATCTATCTCCATATTATTCATCAGTGTTAAAAATAATTAATAAAAAAATAAACTCATAGGAACTAGGTAGTGAGTGTAATATACCCTCAATAAATTACTTAATTAGAAAGTGGTGCTATTAATTTGTATTTTATTATTTTTTATTGCGCGAAGGTATTAATTTGTAGGGTTAAGTGCAAAAAATCCCCCTCTACTATCAATATAGTGCATATCAGTCTCTGTGTGGTAAAAAAAAACCCCTATACTATCAATTTGGTGCGAATAGGTTCCTGAGTGGTGTAAAATGATGATAATACCCTCACTTCAGTTGAATAAATTAATGATTATAAATACAGGTCATGTAAAATGACCATTTTATCCAAATTTGTATAAAATGGGGTTTGTTTGGCAGAAGGATAAAATAAATCTCAAATTGTATAAAATATGGATAACTTAAACCTGAATATAATTAAATCTAAAACTAAACATGCCCTTTCATATTTTAAAATATAAATAAATTTATCATATATATATATATACACACACACACACCATATATCATTAGGGCAAATCTGTTTTAGGACAAATCATTTCAGCCTCCGCCTCCATTTCTATCGCTATTCTCGTTCTCAACTCTGAACTTGCCCCCCCCCCCCCCCTCTCTCTCTCTCTCTGTGCAACTGCAAACTACAAGAATCAGAAGTTCAAAACCCATATATTTTAGTTTATATATCTGTTGCAAGAATCAAAAATTCAAAACCCATATCGGCATATCATTTCATATTGTTCAAAAAATCAAAACCCATATCTTTCTATTTCCATCGCCCACTGTTCCAGTTCGGGTTCACCATTCGCCGTTCGCAAGCTTCAGCCCCTGTTCCAGTTCGGGTTCGCCATTTTTTTTTTTTTTTTTTTTTTTTTACTAGTTCTTTTCTTCTCTCTCTTTCTCTGTGCACTATATTTTTAATTAACTGGGTGTATGCATAATGGAATTTTGGAAATCTGATCCAATTAACCTTTGTAAAGACATATTACAAACACAAATTGAGGAATAAATAAATTAAATTAAATAACAAAAATGAAAACCACTAAGTTGCCTAATTCTGTATGCTTCTTGGCAAGCTGGTCATTTTGACGGAATCGAGGCAGATGAAGCTTTCAAGTTCATGGTCTTGATAGTGAAGGGTTACTACACTCCTAGAAAACCCCAAATGGGGAAGGAATAAGAAAAAAGGGCAAGAGCTTTTCTTTGAAAATCTCATATCTCAGAATTGCATATGTAAAGAAATCTCTACATAGAATTGAAACAGACATGGAGAGAGAGAGAGAGAAAGAAAGAGATGAACTGGCTTTAGGGGTGGGGGTCCTTAAATGCACAATTGGTGAGGGGCAAAATGGGAAACAAAAGGGTAAAATGAGGTTTTCAGTTTTACTTTTTGTAAAAAGTGGTCAATGGGACTAGTTATGCACCTTTTTTGAATTTTGTGAACTTGCATGCACATTTTCAAAAAGTAAAGATTAATTTTACATAAAATTTATATATCAGGGGGTTTTTTTGCACTTAACACTAATTTGTATTCTTATTATCTTGCTAAGGCCACTCTTTTTGTTGAACTGAAAACCAAAACCAAACCCTGTATAATGCCAACCCAAATATTTACAAAATCACTTACATATTTTCGAATAATATTAATAGAAAGTCTAAAAGTCAACACATCTGAGTAATACTTATCCAACTTTAAATATTATTTTTTAGAGTAATAATACTCACACCGAACACTTACAGTGAATGGCCTAATCTAATAGTTTTTAATTGGTTACTAAATACAAATAAGTGGGGGCTCCTGTAACGACCCGAACCTGGAGGTCTGAACCGTTAGCCGGGTCCTAACTCGAACCCGAGGTTAACTATGTCAAATTCTTCATGGCATGCATCTAAACATCATCCTTAGGACTATCACTCTGCATCCACAATAGTTCAAATGAATTTCCAGTAGCCCGGAGTAAAAAAAAAAAAAAAAACAGGAGAGGAAGAACATTTGGCCCAAACAGAAGCACTCGGTCAACCGAAGTAGAGCTTTGGTCGGCCGAAGCAGATCCTCCAGAATCGGTCGACCGAAATAACCCTTCGGTCGACCGAAAGGTGAGATCCCGAGAGTTGAAAAAGGTTCAGTCGACCGAACCCCATTTCGGTCGATCGAAATGGGAGATACTGAGAATGTGCCATTGGTTCGGTCAACCGATACACCATTTCGGTCGACTGAAATGGCTTCCTCGAGCCTTGGAGCTGAACTAAGGTGCTGCGCTTTGAAGGAGGAAGGAAACTGGAATGGGGACCCTGCAATTACTCTAAACTTGTTCTATGCAATAAAAAATGTGCTACTTAATGGTCATAGGCTAGATTACCAACACCTGATCATATAAAACATCATTGGAATTAATTACATGAGTTTCAAACTTAAACTTTACGTCATGAACAATTTATATCAAAATGAGTTTACAATATCGAGTTTCATTATTAATTACAAATCAAATGAACTTAATACACTTTATGGCAAGAGCTTTACAAAACGAATTCAGGTTCTACAAAATATCTCCAAAATTGTCCATTCAAGTTCCCTCAAGACTGTGGTGGATTTTCATCTGTTAATTCCTTGTTATGACCTGAAAAATGTTAAGTATGTAGGGTGAGCAATTTGCTCAGCAGGTGGCACTTAAGACATCTCTCTTGTGTCCCCGTGAATCCAAACAATGAATAGGACAATGGGAAGCGGGACCATACCGTGTCGAGAAAATACAACATCATATCCAATCTTAACATAAACAATACAGTGCAATGTAATGCAATGCATGCCAATGTCGCTCCCCATTTTCAACATTCAAATCTATCACTTTTCAAACCGTTAGTGTAACCCCTTTCGGTACCCCCTCAGCGCCGAGAGAAGGATTGGCTACTGTCCCTGACCGTTGGTACCTCCGCAGCGTCATTATGGGGCCCAGATAGCTCAACCACGCTAGAGCAGTTTTCCTAATTCCCTCTAGGTTACATTAACCTACCGGCCCTTTGGTGACTCCGCGGCGATCGGGTTTTCATAAAACCATTTCATCAAAACACTTTCCCGAAATTTCCCATTTTCATTTCAAAACAATTTCTCTCATTTCTTGCCCAATGCCAATGCATAGAAGTATCAATGCTATATACATATATTTATCATCCCACAACTAGTGCAATTTTAATCAACAAGGCATGGTTTACAAGAATTACTAAAAAGATCATAACATGTTTTTATACAACAAAGATCTAGCATGATAAACACTTAAAACACAACACTTAAGCATGCTCTTCATATAGGTCATTCAATATACACGATCACCATTAACATATATACACAACAACCAATAATTTGCTAAATTCTATATAAATTAATCATGCTAGCAGTAATTCAAAAGGAGATAACTCACTAAAGCACAAGAACTTCATGAATTAAGAACCTGTGATACCCCTCGGATCCGAGACACGGGTTGATCAGGCCCAGGCCCAAACCCGAGGGAGTATCAAACAATTAATAATTTTATAGCGAACACAGAATACAAAATGAATTAAGAAATGAGAGTTTAAAGCTGAAAAGAAACTAAAAGATAATCCTTAAATAATTAAATACTTAAATTTGATAAACCAAATATCCATAATTTGAACAACTTGGGAATCCATCTCTAGTGGACCCCTAATAAAAGTCTCACACTAAATGAAAGTAAAATAAAAGATAAACCCAAATCCAAGATCTGGAAAGAAACCCTACATCCTCGGTAGAATGGAAGATCGTCTCTGCTCAGCACGAACAAGCTCAAGCCTGGAACTGACGTACACCTGAAAAATAGGAGTGGGTCAGGCCCACGAACAAGTTCTAACCTACTACAATCCAAGCAGAGACTCGATACGCATGTACATACTAAATAGTTCAACAATAACTAATAATCCGTACATAAATATATCCACACTACTGGACTCTCGCTAGGCCATGAAGGGGGTCTCAACCTGGATAGAAGGCATCACACAATATGCACCTGAGTGGGTATGAGTACCTAAACCTAAACAGGGTATACCTCAACCTTCACAGTCAGCTACACATCCAACTGCATATACGCACCCTAACCGTCGACACTGAGACTCAAGCTCATGACACGGTAACATAAAAATATATCTAAACTCCGTTTCTATCCATCCACCAGAAATCCAGTAAGTCACTCGGCGTAGTCAACCGTACCGACTTATATATATAAGGAGGATTGTAGTTTATAACCCGTGCCCTTACTCCAAAATAGGTAGGACTTAGCAATTTGAGCTAATCCAAACCCAGTATGTCACCGTCCCATACCGGTACATACAATCCAATCCGTCCAATAGTTGATAAAGCATCGATAATTATAACAGCAATATCAACAATTCCATACTAAACATAAGAGAATGCATTAGCAACCATTCTTAAAAATACCAATAATTGATTCATATTGAAAATAT